TCTCCATAACAAGTACTTTTACTGTTGATACTTGAAGTATATTTAGCTGATAATACTTAAAGGTGGGGTAGGACATTTGGAGAAACCAGCTCGAGTGCGCTAGAATTTGAAAATACACAGCCGGAAAAAATCTCCCACTTCCTCACAGAGCCCCTCCTCCAACACACACGAACGCGCACATGACCAATGAGGGCACGAGATAAGTTTGTGCACAGTTGGAAGGCAGACAGGCAGGTAGGCCATCCAGTTATTTTAGCCGGGCCGGCTCAGATGATTGGTCGTGCTTTTTACAGCGCTACGGCTTCCACAGATGACATTATTTTATGGATTTTTTTGTCAAAGCACTTCAGATATTCATTGCTATCAGGATGTTAAGAGCATTCAATGGAATATAACAAAAAGTGTATCTCGAGCCGGTTTCTCAAACTTACCTACCCCACCTTTAAGTTCATATTATTCTGAAAAGGGTCATTTTGCTGAATGAGTACTTTTACTTTTTGTACTTTAAGTACATTTAGATTCTTTCAGCTTTTACTTAAGTAACATTTAGAAATAAGGACCGTATTGGAGTGTTTAAAGACCATAGTACTTTTACTTAAGTACAGGACCTGAGTACTTCTTCCAGCACTGTTGGTACCAGTCATAGCCATCGCACAACAATGGAGTTCTATGGTTTAGACTTTAGAGGAATAATAGAATTTGGATACACACACCATGCCTGTACCATGCATGTAGTAGATCCATTCTTTGTTGGTGTGGCTCTGCGCAGGGTTAACAAGAAACCATATCCCACTTCTACTCCAATGTGTCCTGCCAGCAGTTTGAACATGTTCGCTGAGACTGTGGAAGCAGGTTTGTGGAAAAGAGAGCAGCTACTGTATTTGCCCTTTTAAGTATAACAAGCTTGTACAAGGAATAGATAAAACACAGAGAATGATTGAACCTGCACCTAATGCTGTTTCCGTTGCAGAGGCTACACAGGATTATGTCACTGTACATGTACGACTACTCCTTCTGACACAAATGCTATCTAAATGTGACTGGCACTGAAGCAGCCTGGTTCTGTTTGTCTTTGTGTGAGAATTTGTAAACAGCTCATAGACCGCCCTCCAACCGGAGATGGGGTGCAGGCAGCACGCCTTGCAGCCCGAACCCCCCTCCACCTTCATCTCTCTCTGTCCCATTATTGCCACACCTGACAGGCTGCTATAATTGATTGTGCTGAAGGAATTACGGCGACGGCTTCTGATGCGCTAGATGCTTAAGTTGACGTCGTCAGACACATTAATATGGAAATCCCTGTAAACTAAATGATATTTGTCTCCCTTGTTATGCAAATGTTTACCACCAAGCCAGTTATCACTTTGATGTTTCACTTGGAAGAGCTATGGTGGTTTGGACTGCATTTCCTTGGCTGGATGTACCGCTACCAATTATGCACTGCATTCAAGATAACGTCCCTCTAACCTTTATTACAAAGGCCTTTAATGTTCCCCTCGTGTGGGGCCTCTTCTTCATGCTTTGGTATTTAAGGAAACTGTTAGCTCTACATAAACTGTGCCTTTCATAGTTAGCTGCTTAAATATGATTTTTAACGTCCAAAGAATACAACAAATCAGTTTTAAAGAGTTTTTGATGAAGGTTATTGGGCCAGGAAAAGAGATATCATGTGCATGTCCAAACAAATTGTTCTGTTCCCACCTCTCTTGGTTTTGAAGTAACTTCCAAGCCTCCAGACCTGCCCTTCTTTAAAGCTGCTCTCATCATATTTCTATAGAAACTAAATGAGAGTTCTAACCAACTATGCAGCTCCCCTTAGTTGAGCATTTTGTAGCTTGTTAGCGTGTCAGATTTCATTGTTCTTGTTTGCAGCATTTAATAAAGGCAGCTCCTTTCACTGAGAAGGCTCTGATGAACCCGGGATGTGTAAATAAATCAATGTTTGCTAACATGTTTTGCCCATACATTTATAGAGTGATAATATGCATGTTGAGTTTTCAGCTTGTTCTGCTGCTGTCCATGAAGCTTGAGGATGCACAAGCTGATGGTCGTAGGGCCCTTTAGTGTCCCAGATCCCAAAAGTATTAGGGTGTGTCTCACGTCGGTTATTTTTCATTTCCTCGCTACTCGGTCGCGGTATCACAGGACGTTGATTTGTCTGCACCATCTTGAGTAGCGTCCCAGTGGCCTTATTTTTGCCGGAGGATCGAGGAGCGATAACAGAGGAGTTATAATCGAGGAACCACCAGACCATCCTCCGGTGAAATCCTCAGACACTCGCCCCGCCCCCTTACTGTGTATCGCTCACTGATTAGACGATGCAGCGCATGCACTGATCTGGCTGCTGTCAGACGATCAGCTGTGCGGCGTCATCACAAACGCGGAGGAAAGGACGTCCCATTGCTCTTAAAACTCATTTCCCTGCTTCTCGTGGTTTCCTTGCGTCTCTCCATGCTGCCCTGGTGGGAGGGACTAGTCGCAGGGAAACGACACAAGTGAGGGACGCAAGGAATCCATTTAACCGAAGTGAGATGCACCCTTAGCCTACTATTACTAGACTTAAATAGATTAGAATCATCAAAAGCTTTACTTTCAACTGCACAGTAGATAGAGTGTAGTTATGGCAATGAAAAGTCCCAGACAAAACAATAACAAATAATAAAAAATGGTGCAAAAAGAAACATATTAGAAATAATATAAAGACATAAAATAGTGCAAGAGAATGCTGCATGATCAATGTTCAAGTAAATGCAGAAGTCTATATTTAGGTGCGGTTTTGGCCAGTGGGTTAGAGCGTTGATCATCAGATCAGAGGTGAACACCAGTTCGAAACCCGCCAGCGTCAGGCCGTTGTGTCCTTGGGAATGTAAAATATAGAAATACAAGCTAAAAACATAATGTACCATTAAATACTGTACAGTGGAATAAAATACTTATTGTAATACAAAATAAATATTTGAGTTGCAAACAGATGAATGCTATAAAGGGATGAAGACTCTTCACAGTGCTCATGTGTTTAACATTCACTAATTAATTGAGGTATAAATCAGCTGTAGGAATATAAGTTTCTGTAAAGGGTTAAAATGTGCAGCGTTTCAGGTGTGCATGTCAATCTCCTGACAGTTACTGTACTCATTTCTATGTGGCTTTGGGAGCTACATGGACCCCAGTGCAAAGCCACAGAGGACTGCACAGGTCACCACAGTGTCTCATTTTAATATTGTGACCTATTCATTTAGTTACAGCTCATTACCCACTCCTCGGGGCTATTGTAAATTCAGCAGTTAATCACAATCATCTTATGTTCCCATATCATTTTATGATGCCACAAACCTCACTGAAACGTGGATTCTACAGAAGCAGTTAAGCTCATAGTTGCATAATGATAAAGGCACTGTAAAATAAAGCCTGCAGAGTGTTTGACTCTGTAGGTGAACGTGACATCTGCAGTATGAGGTGGAGTGGTGCTGGTGTGGCTGTGTAGTGCAGGCCGCTCCTCTGGCAGGGATTCGTTGGGTCTTATCTTGATGGGATGCTTTGACAGGTACTGCATCACATTAAAGACCTTACCAATCTTCCCTGTCACATCCAGCAGGAGGCTCACAGATAGGGACTCCCCTCCCAACACTTTTCTTTTTCTCTTCTCTCACCCACGTTTTCTTACACGACATATTGAATTTTCTTCAGGTTTCAAAGACAAAATAAAGACATGTAGTATAGAAGCAAGATCACTAACTCTATCAAATAAGTCAAAGACATAGACCCCAAAGCCACCTACACACTTTCTATAATGTGCTTATGTTTTCCTACGAAGACATTTCCATTGGCTCAAAGGGTGTTTGATGCTTTCCTGGAATGCTTTTCACTTTAAACTTTTTAGCTTTCTGTGTTGTTGGGAGCTCGACAGAAACAGAGCAGCAAAGTTATTGGAAATAATTAGGGCATAAATTACCTCTGTGGACATAACAAAAATCATATACATTTTAAATGTTACATGTACCTTAGACTTAATGTAATTCAACCCGGTTAGCTATCTCCTATCACGGGAGTATTGTGTATAGAAAGTATTGAGTTATATTTCTCGCGCTACCTAACATCCATGAAGGCAACATGACAGAGGGAGGCCTGCCACTCAGGATGCCAAACTACTCTTTGCTAAGCCCCGCCCCCTCAAGCAATATCAGGGCCAAAAGTCTGAAAGCGAAAAAAAACGACCTGAAAGTGAAAAACGATCTGAAGGTGAAAAGCAATGTGAAACCTGAAAAAACAAGATTTGAAACTGAAAAAATAATTGTTTTGAATCTGAAAACGAAAAATCTCCAACTGAAAAAAATAAGGATTAAAATATCAAAATATGTATAAAAGTGAAATCTGAAAATAAATATTTTATTCCAAAAAATTGCTGAACTGAATCAAAAATAATATTCAACCTGAAAAATGATTTCAAATACTTATTTTTATTTTGAATACATCATTGTATTTTTCAAAGTTCAGGATAAAAACTTGAACTTTCAAATAAATTGTATTTTTTTGAATGATCAAAACTTATGACCCTGAAATAGCTCCATAGAGAGTGGCGCGAGTGCCACCATTGGTCGTCTTTCAGTTCAAGATGAGCACTCTGTCCGTCTTGATGTTGAGAATAAGGTTGTGGTGCCGTCTGCCAACTTGATATTGTTACCGTGTGAGTGCAGAAGGCAGCAGAACTAAAGCTATTTTATTTTTAAATGTAAAACTGGTGGAATTCGAATTAATTACTTTACAAAACACAAGGATTTGAGCCTTTGCAGATAAAAGCGCAACAACCTATATAACACACTACAGGAAAGGTAACCCCAAAAAGCATAATAGGGCCTCTTAAATCCTCTAAGATAAGCTGTGCTCAATACTTTTCTTTCACAACATTGCCTTTAGCTATCTCAGCAGATGTATTGTATCTCCTTCTCCTATGCATATGATAGTTTGCTGTAATCATGACCATGTTGTTTCCCGATGTTTAGGTGGAATCCACCCAGAGTATGATCAGGATCCTGGGACTCTCAGCCACGCTGCCCAACTACCTGGACGTGGCCTCCTTCCTGCACGTCAACCCCTACATCGGCCTGTTTTTCTTTGACAGTCGCTTCAGACCTGTGCCCCTCGGACAGACCTTTGTTGGCGTCAAAGCCACAAACAAGGTAAAAACACAAAGATGAAGTATTTGCAAACCTCTATGACCCTGTAAATGTATCATGCACAGATGTATCCGTTCTTAATATCACTTGTATGAACTATTTCAAGAAGAACGACTGCTACACCCCACAAGTTATATATTTGTGTTTAAGCTGTATGTATCTGCAATTCATTCGTCTCAGTTAAGTAATAACAACATGTGTTGTAATTCTGTGTCCTGTTTAGATCCAGCAGCTTCATGACATGGAGGAGATTTGTTACAACAAAGTTCTGGAGCAGGTTAAAGACGGTCATCAGGTAAGGGCTCTTTTGCATATTTAGAACCTTATAGAAAGCATGTGACATAAGGAGGAGTACATCATATTTTAATTCATACAACTGAAATATACATACGAAAATATTCATACCCTTCAAAAAGTGAAAAGGCGAGCTTCTTCTGACCGAAAAGAACGAGATGAAGTCTAAGCGTATCACATAACACTTTTACATGGATCGTGTTCTTTTTTAATGTTAACACTCAAAATGAACTTAATACTTCAGGTATTCTACTTCCCTTGACTTTTTAACGAGGTTAAATCTACTTCATGCATTTCTGTCATACGTCTTCATGGTTTTTCTAGTGAAATGTTTGGACTAGAAGAACCTAAAGAGAAACACAGTAATAATAAGTTAGAGAGGCTTTATCTATATATTATAGAGTGCTTCCTATACACACATAAGAAAAATTGAAATTCATAAATTAGAAACAAATAACATATCAAGAGACAGACCCAAAAAATGCACTTAAAACTGTCCAAAGATTCAACAAGTCCGTTGATTATAAGACGATTGGCTCTAAAACTACAAAGGTGGAATCGCGATGGAGAGGGAAAGGATAGGTTTAGTGATTGAATTGGTCGAATGGAAGAAGAATCAGGAACAAATACATATCTGACATATATACAGGGCAAGGGCCATGCAGTGTTTATATGTGATTAACAGGATCTTGTCATTTATTTTACAGGAAGGAATGAAAAAAAATATGGTCAATGTAGTTTTTCACATATAGGACCTCCTGCAGCAGAGAGAAACATCTGAAAGCAGTCCGTCATTTTGACAGATTAGAACAAACTCGGAACAGCGGCAAAGTTTCCCCGCAGTGAGGCTCCGGTGTTATGCCGTGTTATGCATGCTTGCCAAAAAGGAAATGATAACGTTTCCAAATCGTACTTTGCCATACAGATCATTGAAATGTCTGGGAGTTTTTACTTTACGCTGTGTGCGCTCCTGCGAGGTGCAGTGGGCATGCATAACACAGCGCTAACAGTTCACGAGCGTGTGCCCATCCCCCCCCCCCCCCCCGTCAGAGTTGTGTAAAGGCTGACGGGTAATAATGGACTTTGACGGAAATGTTACGATCCTGTCCGTCAACATGACGGGCAGTGAAAAAGCTCAACCCCTGTCCTGCAGTATATATTTCCCAAACCCTTTGGATTGAACACCTGCTATCTGAAGTCTCTGACGACCTTATCTCCCTCAGTGTTACCCTCCCCCTTCCTTCTCCCATCCACCACCCTCCGCTCATTCTGCTTCCACTCTGCAGCCTCAGAAAGTCTGCTGGGAGGATGAGAGTTGTGAATTCAGACTTTACCGTTTAGCTCCCATCTGCTGCAGGAGTTGAACCCCTGTTTGAGCACTGGTGTTATCCTGTCTGCCTCATTTTATTGCAAGTGTTCACACATGCTTACACACACCCTTTTTCTAGCATTTGTCCTTCTCTCTTGCCCATTATATCCCTCAGAGACACACTTCAAATGAATCTTGCTGCAGCCATGGGAAACTTGTAAACTAACCTAATTCTACTTTACCACTAACAACTTTTTGTATCCCCCTCTTGACACTCTTCAATGATCCAGTCCGCCCTGTGGGTTTGGGGGGGGGGGGGGGCCTCCCTATCGCTCATTATTAAATTGTCAAGAAGTGGCTGTGACATATACTAGTTTAATCTGGGAGGATCTGATGGATGACATTTCCTTTATGATTTTCCCAGCACCCTCCTGGTGGGAAGCACGCTGCCAGGAAGAAGTTTAATAAGCAGAGAAGCGGCGGTTACTGCCGACAATGCTTCCACAGCGCTCAGTGGTGCTGATAAAACACCTTCAATAAATAACGCTTGCTGCAGTGGTCTCTTCGGACCTACTGTGTTTGTAGCATACACACAGCCGGTAGCTGGAGGTGTGTGCAGTCATGCAATGTGCTTTGGTCTAATAAAAGATGTCCATACTACGAAACAAAAAGACATCAAAACAATATTCGCAGGGTCTTTCATGGCTTTTTACAGGTAATTGTAACACTTATTTAGTGCTCTATTATCGTTTGAATATGCAATCCTTATCTCAATTTTCATTTAGAACACCTTCTGTTTTATTTTATATTACCATGTGCCCCTGAAATTGTTAAAAGTATAGCAAATGGGAGGGTCTTTAATTTCAATTGTTCAATAATAATCAGTTATTTTATTATTTGTTTTGAAAGAGCAATGGTCAACTCTCTATTGACCAAAGCTGCCGTCGCATGATATGCAATTTGCTCTTTGTACATTGCAAGGTAAGGCGCAAAGCCTCGCCATGGAACCAGCTAGTTTGTTTATGGTTACCTCCCCTGCTTATTGTTAAGCTGTCATCTGATTGCTTTTGTGTTTCAAGGTCAATCAACTTATCAGTAGCACTCCACGATCTGGAAGTTAGCATTGCAAGAACAACAAAGAGCAATGGCATTTTTTCGTTTGATTTTGGATTATTGTATAAAATAATATCAGTTGCAAACGTTAGATAATATCCAGATGATAACACCACATATATAATTGTTGGTGTATAAATGCAATCGCCACAAGTAAATAGCTAACAATGTAAAGGAACTACATCACAGACGTATGGCTAATATTCGGCATGATGGCGCATGATGGCGTTCAGTGATTTCAATTAGTCACTTGTTTGCAACTGCCGTTTTTAAGACACAAGCTACAGAAATTATCCATTTAATAACCTGTTTTATGTAAACAAATGTAAACATCTATTAAGCTTGGGGTAAGTCATCATAAATCATTGACTTTGGGACGAGGGAACTGGAAGTGGTAAAATGCCGACTCATAAGGTTTTAGCACTCATTCCTGCACCACTATGACGGAAGGTTAAGGGAGTCTACAATTATCTTACATTTGATCCATTAAATGTTGAACTTGTTGACTTGAAATTCCAATTTTATAGATTGGACAAACTGCATAACCAGCTGAACTTCTGTGTGATTATGTGTCAATGTTGTGTTCCTCCTTATCTTCTGTCTTTGTATGCCTTAGGTGATGGTGTTTGTCCACGCCCGTAATGCCACAGTGAGGACGGCAATGGGTCTGATCGAGATGGCCAAGAACCATGGAGAGATAGGCTTCTTCCAACCAAACCAGGGGGCAGACTACGGCCACTGTGAGAAACAGGTACAATGTCCTTTTAAAAGCATCATCTCAAATCTTTTAGCTTAAATTCCCTCACAACAACACGGGTAGCTTTGTCAGGGTATGATTGGTCGTTTTGGTTTTCAGTCACATTAGCTTGTTCTAATCCCATAGGCTAAACTGCTGTTGTAAACGTTTCCAGAGGTTATGGTGTTTGATGTTGGTTTCACAACTGGTTAATATGCAAGGACAAGATTTCACAAACAAAACAAAAGAATTGGGGCATTTATAGCAGTATCTGTTTATTCCCATGGAATTGCCCTGTCAAGTAAATCTGTTGAATTTACTTAAGTGAACTTTGATACACAAATGTGTGCATCTGCATTAGCAAAGCGCCTTGACAGTGCTGACCTGATGATGTCATGCTCTATTAACTGTGTTCCGCCATCTACTTTTACATAACCGTCCTCTGATGAAGTATAAACTCCAAAAACAGGCAAGACTTGTAGCCAGTGAGTAACTCAACCTCATGTCTTGAATAAACTCTAACTCGTTCTCACAGTCAGATTTCTCGGCGTGGCTCCCGAGTTCAGGCGCATTTATGGCTAACTATTGTGTCGTAGTTTAGCGTGCCAGCTACAGCAGTTTGACAGTTAGCCCCAACATCAACAAGCCGTCATTTCAGATGTTTAGGGCCCGAGCAACGACAAAGTCGGAGCAGAGGACCTGAATTTGCAAAAGTTTGCAAATGTGAAAACCGATTTTTGGTAAGGGGGTTGGGTTGGGCGTGGCGAATTCAGAACGACACGCCCACACTGTGAAATGATTGTGGTATACTCTTATGAACGGCAGCAGAACACTCGGCAGAGAGTTCCTGTTTAATAGATAATGTTTTGCCCCGGCCCCTACTCTTTAGCTCCACTCCCCTCTCACATAACTCATGCACTGATTGTCACAGACACTTGCGGGAGGTATCATTTCACTCGGAAGAGCATGGGTGTGGACAGGTAGAGAGCAGCCCACCAGAGCATGGGAGTGCAAGAGCCCGTTCAAAGTTTTAATTTGAGGAAATGCAGGTAGATTTTGCTGTGCTGTTATTTTTATGTATGTCCCACATAAGACATAGAACTAGAAACAGAGGAAAAGTCACAGATAAAGTTTGTCTGGGACAAACTGGAGTAACACCAAAGAGAACGCAGCTCATCATTACTGTCAACACAGTTTTGGTGCGGGCAGGCATGTAAGTGTGTGTGTGTGTGTGTGTGTGTGTGTGTGTGTGTGTGTGTGTGTGTGTGTGTGTGTGTGTGTGTGTGTGTGTGTGTGTGTGTGTGTGTGTGTGGTGTGTGTGTGTGTGTGTGTGTGTGTGTGTGTGTGTGTGTGTGTGTGTGTGTGTGTGTGTGTGATGTTGTGTGTGGTGTGTGTTGTGTGTGTGTGTGTGTGTGTGTGTGTGTGTGTGTGTGTGTGTGTGTGTGGTGTGTGTGTGTGGTGTGTGTGTGTGTGTGTGTGTGTGTGTGCGCGCGCGCGTAATTAATGGTTTCTCTGCTGTGAGAGTACAGAGGTGGAGCTACATTCTCCCTCAGAGGATGGCCAGTCAAGACTCCGACTCGCGTATTTAAATAACAGAAGGCAGAGTGATACATTTAGTAACCTTTTCCTTCATTCCCTGGGGCTGAGCCAAGATTGATGCGCCTGTAATCTCTCCTCTATTTAAATGGGATATGTATACAAATCAGATCACTTTTCATGCTTTCTAAAACTGGAAATGGAGACAAGAGATTATGTTAGGGGACTAAAAATGGGGGTTTGTGGCCTGGTTAGTCTTTGACGTTAAAAGCATTTGTGCAAGTGTTCCCGCAGTATAAGTACATGAATGAAGCGTGTTGTGTTTGCACTAACTGTACGTTAATTCACTCCTGGCCCTTCTGCCTGTTTCCCAACATAATGAGAATTATCCACTCCATTAGTCCATCTGAGTGTTTGTCAGTCGGGCCTGCTCTGAAGGAAGAGGCTCAGGTTGATTCCACTCTAAGCCCACACAGAGATAATGCACTGCTTATTTGCACTCTGGAAATGGCCCCACATTAATATTTATAGGTGTTTTTTAATCTCCAATATGCATATGCAGTGAAATAAAGCACCTCTAAGGTCAGCCATATAATTTAGCGTTTATTTATCCAGCTTTGAAAGTCAGAAGTGATTCCACCATATTTTTCTCTCCTAATGTTATTTAATTGGCTTAGTCCCCGGGGCTTGGAGAGGCTGTCAATCAAGCTTAGATATCTTAATGCACACACTCCAATCAATTCTTGTTAAATACAGTTTGTGGTGAGCCATGATAAAGTGCTGTTGATGTTGAACACTTTCCATGAGAGCATTTCAAACAGCAGCCCCGCACTCCTGCCTTTTGATGGAAGAGAAAGTATTCAGACACTTTACTAAAGCACAAATACTACACTATAAAAATGCTCTATTACAAGTAAGAATCCTGCTTCTATAATGCTACTTACTCAACGTATGATCACGAAAATGTACTTGAGGTATTAAGGGTAATAGTATTCATTGAAGAAAAGCAAATATTCACGTTTGATAAAAATTAGTTCAACAATTAGCAAAATTGCTGCCAATTAACTTTCTATCAAATCTCTCATTGTCTTAGGTACTAAAATATAATGTTGGCTATTTTAGCCTAAATCAAAACATATTATTTAACAGTTCGTCATATTGTTTCTGTCGTAAAAACTAAATAAATGTAGTAAAGTCAAATGTGCATTGTATCCAGTGTTGGGTGTTACAAAGTAACGCGTTACAGTAACGTAACTACTTTTGCCGGGTAAAAAGTACTACTATGGAAAATTTGGTAACGTAACGTAGTTTCTTCTTCAATTCGCCGCAACGTTACTTTTCCCAGGGACGAGTGACAGTGACACTGCCTACTCAGCTGCGTGCTTACGCATTAGGCACGAGCTCTCATTCCACACTGTACGTGATAGAGGCTGGCCGCTGGTGGTGGCATGAAGACTGAAGAGCAGTGATGGCAAGCGAGAAGCAGGCGCAGCCAACGCTAACATTCGAGGGATGGAGGTATTCCCATTACTTCGAACTTGTTGAATCTAAGGGGAAAGATGTGAGTGTAAGGTGTACGTTGTGCCCTGGCCAGAAACTTGTGTCCACTGCCGTTAACTCCACTGCCAACCTCACCAAGCATTTGAAAGGAAAACATGCTAGCATGAAGCTAGTAGCTCAAGATCCCCGGGGAAATGATGATATTTCGAGTCCAAGCCTATTTAGTAGCCTATTGATAGGATTTGCACTAGCTTTGCACCTATTTTGGGGCTAGCCTGTAACCCTTAATGATTATGATTTTATATTGATATTGTTTGATATTATTGTTTAGTGGTGGTGTTATAGCCCAATGTTATAGCCCAATGTTTTGTTAAGTGCTCTGTGGCATTTTTTTATAATAAAGAGCACAAAAGACATATCTGTTATGTCCTCCATAGTAGAACTTTATGTAAGCCTACACATTTAGGAACAGAGATGGGGTTCTGCCCAAAGTCGAGCAACATAAAAGTAACGTAAAAGTAACGAGTAACGTAAAAAGTTACTTTCCTTGGAGGGTAACTAAGTAAAGTAAGGGATTACTTTTTTAAAGAAGTAACGAGTAACGAGCAAACACTACTTTTTAAAAGTAACTTCCCCAACACTGATTGTATCCCTTGTATATGTAGATAACTCTGACAGTGCCCCTTATGCTTGGGTTGTAATAGCTTTCATATCAAATAAACATCAGAATATACTGCCTAAAGCAGTGATTCTCAAATGGGGGTACGCGGACCCCTAGGGGTACGTTGGGGTACTGCAGGGGGTACGTGAGGTAAAAATAAATAAAAAGGTTAATTAAAAAAATACCATGCATGATTACAAAAATAATCTTAGTACAATAAGTTAAATGGAAAAAACAATTTTATATAAAATATTCCTAGAACCACTAAGGGGGTCCTCATATAAACATGTTACATTTGTGTATTGTATTTATAGTTTTTAATAATATATCATTTTGTTCATTGGTTTGTTAAACATATTAATTCAATTGAAAAACTCCTTGGAAAAATCTTTTTTTTCATGCATAAAGATGAAAATATCCTTAGTTTGTTGTAATTCATGCATTAAGGAGTTAATACATCAAACACTGAGGGAACATCTATTGTAATTATTTATATAGGCTTTTTCTGTCAAAAATGTCCGGGGTCGGTCAGGCTGAGAAAATGTTTCAAAGGGGGTACATTACTGAAAATGAACCAGCAGCACCTTACACTGCTTATCTCGGGGAGCCAATAGTCTTAGCTAGGGCTGCCAATTTGGGGAAATAATCTAATTGCGATTTATCTGACAGATATTGCGATTCGATTTGCGATATTTGTTTTTAAGCGACCCAATGGAAGTTTATTGTAAAATGCGGCCATATCTCCGGCTATGAAGGTCGTATCAACGTACTCCCGTCTCTAGCACCCCCGCAGCCAGAGCTACGAGTGAAATAACTAAACTTATATGAAACTTCCGTTGGGTTGCTTTAAAGTCAAGCTTCAGTTTAAGATTCACCCTGTCATAGAAACATGTGATGGAGCATTACTGACCTGACTCAGATGCTTTGTTTCACCAAACCATCTAGGAAAGCTCCATTGGAAGCCATTTGGAAAAGTATTTCAAAAAGACTTGGCAGGTGATTGGATCAATCTGTCTATCACCTTCTATCATGGGCCACTTCTGATTGGTTAACAATGACTGGTACATGTGGAGCACAGCACTTCTGATTGGTGTGATGACTGACACACAAGAACAAAACAAATACAAATAACAATAAAAAATCACAGGCTTTGCAATTTGATAATTGCATCATTTCAAATCGTGATTTCGATGAATCGTTCAGCCCTAGTCTTAGTTTTGAATTGCACAATTACATTTTGATTATTTGCCTCATGCTTGACTTTCATGTTTAAGAAGGCACATTTTGTATTATAAAAAGAAAGATCCTAGAAAAAGTA